GAGGGGGGAGGAAATCGGGATAGGTTGTGAGCACTGGTCATGGTGAGGGAATGTAGAGTGATAATTCCTGTCATTTGCACGGAGTGAACAACTGTCAGTAGGGTGTGTGGGAGGGATATGCGATCGCAACCTGGCGTCGGCGTCGGTCACGGAAGTGTATGTGCTTGTGTTGGCGTTTCCTCAAAACACAGCACTGAATTTGCTAGCCGTATACCCGCTGCCTCGGCCATTGCTAACACCACTTGACGTAGGCCCTGAGAAGTTGGCTGGTGTCCGATAGACAACGTGAAAGGTTTCATGAGTATCGACTCAGTCATTCGTTTGCGAGAATAGAACTCGAGCTCGATAAAGTTTCACTTTTACTTAACCAGGCCGATATGTGTTCACGCATTATCTTTTACATGCGCCTCGTTGTACATGACTGTGACCTTCAGCGGCAGTCGGTCTTTACGTCCCATGTGCATTTACTCTTTCAGTTGCTCCTGCGGAGCATGATACATTGGCCGAACAACGAGGCGCCTGTAAAAGAAAGTGCGGGAACACATACCGGCCTGGTTAAGTAACCTGGATTTCATGGGAAGGTGGGACAGTGCTCGAAGTCCATTGTGGATTTTCATTTTTGAAGTTTCTTAAGGTGTTTGCATTCTACGATATGCTGTCGTCACCTGGTGTCGGCGTCGGCCACGGAAGGGACAAGGCTTGTGTTAGCGTCTTCTAGCAGCACAGCACTGGATTCGCTAGCCGTATAGCCAACGCCTCGGCTTTTGCAAACACCCGTTGGAATAGGTGCTTGGAGGAATTAGTGGTGTCCGGTAGAAAACCTCAAAGGCTGCATTAGTATCCATTCGGTGATTCATATCGACAAGGTGTGCGAGGATAGAAATGGAGATCAATCTAGTTTCACCTTTACTTAACCAGGCCGGCATGTGCTCAAGTACCCTATTTTCCGGGCGCCTCGTTTTTCCGTCGGTGCTTCCGGCTCCACTGGAGTAATTAAAAGAGTAAATGCACACGGATATGGTCTTTTGCCTTTAGCGCGGGGTCCGTGAGTCCAATAGCAAAGTTCAGACGACGCAGAAGTTCACCGAGGAGGGGGGAGGGGTCTCTTAGGAATGGCAGTCTGAGGAATAACTGCTATTCCATTGCAAATGAACTGAACGTTCAGTATACAGTGAAAGAGTAGCTGCTGCAGTGTGATGACTGGGATGTCAATTGGGAATTCCTACTTAATAATTTCGTCAGATAAATGTTCTGTCGCTTCTAGGAAGGAGATTAGCAAATAGATACGATAGGTCTTAGTTTTAAATTCGTATTATTCATGGAATTCGGCAAAGTTAGTTTAAGTAGTGCACCTCATATACCCCTAGTCTCGGCACTTGTTCCATGGAAACGGTGGCAATCGGGGTTTTGGAGGTGGAAAATGTAGTTGAATTTGTTTCCCGCGTCCGCCAGGAGTAAGGTCGAACTGTACTAATCTAATCCCAGATCCGTAAGTTGGACCTCAAGTAAGTTGAAGCAGAGGACATCCTAATCAAAATATCTATTTCCTTTTTTTAGGAATTTCAAGAAATCTGCATTTTTAACCGGATTTTTCCGCCATAAGTTGAACGATAAAAATAGAAAAGGAAAATCTACAGATATAAATCAACAACATTCCTAAATAAAGTAAAAATGCATACAGCAGTGTGTAAAATATAGCTCACTGCCTAACCTAATTCGCCCCCAATACAACCCCTATAACCACCGTTTCCGTAGGAAAAAACTGCTGGGATTAGGCGTATATGAGGTGCATTTCTTAGACTACTGTTGCCTGGAATTCATTACTTTGAAAGTGTCCTGCAGGCTGCGTGCTGCTATTTTGCGTCAAGTTGGCTCAAGTCTTTGGCCAATCACTGCAATTGTACGCCACAGTTAATTGTAAATATGTTATCCCGGCCGCATAGGAAGGTCGGGTTTGTGAATGTTTGTTAAACCCTACATCTTCAGGAGTTTGTGCCGATGAGCTTCAAAATTTCAAATTAATGGTCACAAGAAACCTTGGTCCGCCAGCTTCCGATGATATGTGATAAGGCGAATTTCTACGATGGCAATTTGTTCGTTATTTACTCCTCTCATCAACTGATGAAGTATTCTTCGAAGTCAAGGGGGGTGTTGAGCCCGAAAGAAATTGGAGAGGTTAGCAGTTCGTTTCTATCTTTACTTTCGCGAGCTTTATTCAGTGGATTTCATAGTTGAGTACTTCTCACGGCTCATTTGTTACTATCCTTTGCGCTAAATCAGGTTTTGGGAAGCTGCTTAGCCTTTAATTGAACCTTGTATGGCGACGTGAGTGGCGTTAGTTATTCCCATTTACTAAGTTTCACAACGTGACGCCGGCTAAAACTTCTGAAATTACCTAAGAAATGTTTTTTTCTCATTTAGGAACCCAGCAATGGCGCACACCGTCGATGTCCTGATAATTGGCGCCGGCATTGCTGGCCTTACCGCAGCTATGCGTCTGAAACAGGCAAATATTGATAACATTCTGGTTCTCGAGGCAAGAGACCGAATTGGCGGTCGTGTTGCGACTACCGTGTTTAGAGGCGTCGAGCTCTCCATCGGTCCCATGTATGTCCACGGGGAGGCCAATAATCCAGTGGCCCGGTTAGTGAAACAGTTGAAGTTACCAGTGCATCCACCAGACTACTCCACATTCGGAGCAAAGTCCTGTGTTGCTCGACTGGCCTCTTCTGGAGAAGATGTTGCTTTGCAGTTAACTGCTGTCATTTCAAAGCACGACGAAGCCCTG